TAACTACTCTTCAAAAATTATTTTTTTCCAATTCATGACACAGTTCAAGCAATAAAATCAACTTACCCTGATTGGGTATATTCTTGCATCACAGAAGCTACTCTCTGTACCAGCTGGGCTGTGGGAATGGGCTCTTGGTAAACAAGATAGTATTGCTGAGCCAGTTTCCGAGCTCGGTGCACAAGCACTCTAGCAAACAAGAAGTGAGAATTAAAATTACGATGCTCTACCACCTCAGTACTCCTTCTCCTTCCATAGGCATACTACTATAGCACACGTTTTACATGTGCTTTTTTAACAGTGGCTGTCAGCTCAAAGCCAGTCTTGTTCTTACATGATTACAGTTAACACACAAGAAAATATCAGAGCATCACAGAGGAGTTGAGCCACAGGAGATAGATAAGGACAAGGCAAGAAAAAAATTAGAAACTAAGGGGTACCAGTCAGCTTAACAGTAACAGATTCAGTTACACAATGAGAGTTTTATCTCCCTCCTAGGCTTCAAGATTGTGCCTCTCACACCAACAGCAGTCACCCTATTGTTTTATATCTCAGTCGCACACACACACACACACACACACACACACACACACATCTCAAGCATTTTTTTCCTCATTCTGCCTCAATCTTTCCCACAGACTACACTTGAAAGAGTTCCCTTCATAGATTAAGGAACAGCAAGAAACTACTTATAACTTAAAAATGTAAAATTTGTCAAAAGAATAAACTACATAACAATCAAACATATCAGCATGTCAAACAGGACGTACCTTTACCTGCTCAGGTACTACTGATCTGAACCATGCACATTATCCCTGGCACAGTGCTCAGGTCCTGCCCCCTTAGTTTATCCTGTCCGTGGTAGCACACCACAGCATCCCTCCTATACAGCAGTCACAGGATACACTGTAGTGAAGCCTGATCACATTTCAGTGACACTATTGCTCTGAAACTTCTTAAAGTGAAATTCTGGCTCTACCAATCTTGTTCCATACAAAATCAAGACTGAAGTAATAATACTCCTTTTCTTGTTAAATGACCAACACAGCAAGCTGTCTGTCTCTTTCAACTTGCTGGTACCCTGATATAACAGGATTGCTCTCTCTCTTCCTGGGAAATATCAAAGCAATGAACAGATGAACATCGGATCCTGAATGGCTGCCATATGCAGCAACTTTCAGTGGACTTTGAGAATTATGCCCCTTTACTAAAAACAAATAAATATGAAGTGATGCTTTCTTTTGCTACCTGATGAGTTTTTAAATATAGTTTATTATACCTGTTACAACTTGTATTGCTTTTGTTTTTAAAATGCATTAGAGAACAGCAAAGCCCTTGAAGCCTAGCCCTTGGATGGCAGAAGAGGGCCTGAGCTCGGAAATACTGTATGTGTCTCCTCTTTTACACCCAAGTGGCACTGAATATCTTCCTTAAAGTAACCCTCAGTCTGTCGTGTACAGAAAAACTAAATTCAGCTGCCAGTGATGCTACTGCTACACAAAACAAAAATAGGGAGTTGGGAGGTTAAAGGAAAAACATTCCTTCACTTTTCTCCTCAAATATAGATTATGAGCAATTCATGAAATGGTGAGAAAACAACCAACAGTATAACGTACCTGTAATCTGGGCCCATGCCACTATACACCAAGCCTATATGTTTGGTAATTGGTTCCACTTTATGTACACTTCGCTCATCATACAGAATGGATTTCTGTTTCTTCTCAGTTGCTAATACTACACCATTTGAAGCTTTAAAAAAAAAAAAAAGACCTTTAAATGTTTAATCATTTAAAGACTGTTTCAACACTTTTCTAATTATGGCTACATTTCACCCATCTCCTCTTACTTATAAAACTTTTTCTTCTGGATTTCTATATTAAAATCACTTAAGAAGCAGTAAATCAATTTTTTTCTTACTGGTCATCTATACGCACTGAGAAATCCCTATAACTAAAGGTGTTACACAACTTTTCTTAAAGTACTTCAGGATACCTTAGAGTCCATATGTTTTAAAATAATGAAATTCTGCCTACTTGGCATACTATGCTTATAATCTAAAATTCGAAATCAATGATAGAGACTTTTTTTAAAAGGGTATCTTTAGAGTAAGTTTTATAATTAACTTTTTCTAAATTACAGAAAGGATAAAAACTACCAGAGAACAGTGATATGTAATCAATGGAAAAATAAAAGAATACTGAGTTATCTGAATGGGAAAGACTATAGATTATCACAATAGATAGAAGTGCTATATTTGTTCTGAAAAAAATTAAATCACTTTCTTAGGCTTTTTACTTTCTTTAAACCTCAGAATACTGTAATTTAACAATAAAATTGTTAAAAAGGATGCTGCTACAGCTATTTATAAATTAAATTCTAATTAATTTCACAAGAATATTAGGATAACTATTAACAGGCATTAGAAATGAAGCATTTAATTACCTTTAATTCCCACTGAAGGGGCTCCTCCAGCTACAGCAGCCAAAGCATATTCAATCTGGACAAGTTTACCAGACGGGCTTAAAAACAAAGAAAGATATTTGCTAAATTCACACATCCTCAAATATTATAGAAACATCTTGAGAAAGGGCAGATATGTAGGTCAAATCCATTAACCAAAAACAAAGAAACAGCTGGCCTTTGAAATTTACCATCAAGTTGTACAGAAAGTACGTTTACCAGGCAATTTGAACATATTCATAGTGAAGCACTAATCTCTTTCCTTTGGTTGTTTTTATCTGGTCTGCCACTTAAAGCAGTATTACTGTTGCCTTTCAGCACTTACCTTAGCCCTGTGACTTTGGGCAAGTTATTTAACCTGTTTCTCAGTTTTCTCATCTGTAAAATGGGGATAACAGTTCTGTAGCAGTTACCTGTGAAGATTCTATTCCTGGTACAAAATCAGCAGCAAGTAAACACCAAAATAGTAATGTTATTAAAAACATGTACGAGATCTGACAATTACTGGTAAGTTCGCAAACTCATCCTAAAAAGTGCTACATACTTCATTGCTGAATATCACTACGGTCATCTTTGATGTACTTCCCTTGGGAAGCTATGCACAGACTCCAGTGCCTAGTCCACCCTTCAAAGCAATTTTGGAACTCTTTTTCTGGAATGGCCATCAGAGCTGTTGTTGTATTACCCTTGATGTCCTGAATGTCATTAAAATGTCTTCCTTTCAATATCTCCTTTATCTTCAGGAAAAGAAAGAAGTCACTGGGGGCCAGATCAGGTGAGTAGGGTGGGTGTTCCAATACAGTTATTTGTTTACTGGCTAAAAACTCCCTCATAGCCAGTGAGCTGGTGTGTTGTCGTGATGCAAGAGCCATAAATTGTTGGCAAAAAGTTCAGGACATCTATCGTTTTCATGCAGCCTTTTCAGCACTTCCAAATAGTAAACTTGGTTCACTGTTTGTTCAGTTGGTACAAATTCATAATGAATAATCCCTCTGATATCAAAAAAGGTTAGCAACATCGTTGCAACAAGTTCACGAATTTAATTGTCCGACCTCCAATGTGTCTACTATTAATAAATACCAAACAATACCATATATTTCACGTGGAGTTTTACATTTTAGAAAGGAGACATGGCTAAGATGTTAAGACCTAAATATCAATCACAACAAAGTACTTTCTATAGAATATAAAACTATTTCTAGAAATCATGAGCTGGTAATACTTAACACTTCTAGTTCCATGGGTTTGGTAGCTAAATACTAGCCTCCAGATGGGTTTTTAGGTCATACTTTATTTCCATCTAGTTGTTGAGTTACAACAGGGATAGGCAAACCGTGGCTAGCAAGCCACATGTGGCTCTTTGGGTACGCTGTGTCTCAAAAGTTTGCCGACCCCTGGAAGAGCCAATCCCGACCCTCACAAAAATTTAAAAATTATTCGAGCGCCATAATGTATTTTTACATTATCACCATTATGTGAATAATATCCTTTAAAAATTTTACAAATGAAACTATGATAGTTTTATTTTCATTTTCAATTTTACTTCAGAGCCACAGTTCACGAGCTGCAGTTTGCTGACCCCTGGCAGCTATTCCGTCTCAAAAGTTTGCCGATCCCCGAGTTAGAATCATCGTAAATGTCACTGACCACCCTTCTTCTTTTATAGATAAAGTCCTTGAGTGATAACAATTTGTCCAAAGTGACACAGCTAGGTCCCTATCTCCAGTCTACTACTGAAAAGATAATCTTGAGTTTCAAAAGGTCATCTGTTTTATCTTCATAAAATTATAAATACTGTCACTCAAATCTCAACTCGCATCATCCCACCTTGCTCCAGACACACAGGCTACTCTTAGAATTCAAACACCCCTTGACAACATAATCCCTCTGTTGGGAATGCTGTCACCATTGCCTAGTGAACTCTTTCCTCGTCACCTTTCAATCCTTAGTAGAAATGTCATGTCCTCAGGGAAGTTGCCCTGACCACCCAGACTAAGTTGAATCCCATACATTCATGCCTATGGTGTCCTATACTTTCTCTTTGGCCAAAGTTCACCATCAAACTTTAATTATGTTTTACAATATTTTTCTTCCTCAACAAAGTGTAAGTTCTGTTCAGTTAGTATTCCAACACAGAAGTACATAATCATTTCGCTGATAGAGACACATCTAGACTTATTTAAGAAATAAGCCTAGGGTGGTAGTTTAAAGACTCTTAAATGACAAAATTTGCTGATTTGAACAGAATAACCATTAATAGGGATTTAAATTAAAAACTTAAGCTGTGCTTGTTTTCCTTTAATGGTCATTATTTCAATAATCATATCATAACATCCATCCAGCTTTCAACTATTGTTCAATACCTAGTTCAAATACCTCTGGGGAACATGTTAAAGGCTCAGGTCAACTTAAAGTTACCTCTTCTGGGTTCCTATAATCACCATCACCTGCATACACACATTTATCGTTGCATCTTTCTGTATAAAAACTCACTAATCTGTGAGCTCACTGAGCAATCAATCAATCTTTGTATTCATTCATGCCACTACCCCCTTCCAAAGCACCAGGATCCCTATCTGGGATAATTGAAATAACCTTCTAACTAGTATTCCTCTTCCACCCTTACTTCCATCACCCCCAGCAAGAGTTACTTTTGTACCATGTTACCCTCGACTTAAATCCTATAATAGCTTCTTAGTTCATGTAAAATAAAAACTCCTTACTCTGGCCTACAAGGCCCTAAAAGACTGGACTTGACCCACACCCACTCTGCTATATCTAGCAAACTGGCCTTATATCAAATTCCTTTAAGAGTTCAAGATCTTTCCAAACTTTAGGACTTTCATACCTGCTCTTCTCTCTATCCACAACTCTCTCTACCCCTAAATCTTCAAGTAGTTGGCTCCCTTCCATCTGCCAATCTCAAAAATCACCAAGCACTGGCCTTTCCTGACTGTGACTATCCAATCTAAAGTTATGTTCCTTTTTTCACCTTTTTATAAAAAATCCTAAGGGAAAAACATTTTTCAGAATGCAACTGTAGGCACCAATTTGTTTACTTATTCATTTACTGTCAATATCCCCAACTGAATGTAATACACAAGAATACCTTTTCATCCTAAAGTATAGTCCCTTGTCACTTCCACCATTAATAGTGTAATTCTGATAGCACATTTTTAAAAATCTAAAACAGAGTTAATCTAAACATGTTTCTTAAAAAAAGTTTAAATAAAGATTCAGTCTCTGATGATATATGGTTATGTTTCAGCACAACTAGGATTACACTTTCTCAAAGAAAAGGACCAGGTTTACTTTGTTCACAGATATGAACAGTGACCACTTGGCAAATATTGTTCTTTATCACTGTAAGTGATGAGACCTTTAGTTACAGAATTAATTTCATTCAAAGGGTAAAAAAAAATATTCTCACTTAAATATTGAAAACTGTCAAGAGCAAGGAAAGCATTTTAGTATTTCAAGAAAACACCAAATAGTAATGAAAAGTGTATCAATTTTGTCATCAAAAAGAGCTCAGTTTGAATGTTAACTCTATCCTTCTATGACCTTGGACAAGTGATTTTACTTGTCCGAGCTGTGGTTAGCTCATCTGTGAGATGCTGAGATAACGTTTATCACACAAGGTAGTGGAAAGACATGAAGTAGGTTAAGTTGCACCCACACAGAAAGTACTCAACAAGTTAGATCCTCCCTGCCTTCAGCTGTCAGTAAGGAAAACATTTTAACTAAATGGGGCACTATTGATGGATACGAAAATGGTCAAACTGAATCCTTCCCTGGTCGATTTATTAAATCCTTAGGTGATGGTTTTCTTACATTAGGAACGACGATTAATCTCAACTGTATTTTGAAAAATATACTTAGTTTAATCCCTTGTTCTAAAATAGAAAAGCCTACAATCTTTTTAAAAGTAAACATATCCCGTTCTTCCCAAAACGGCCAAAACGCAAACGTAGCCTAGTAGTTTGGGGCCCACAACACTAGGTGACAGAAAGCTTAGCGCTTTCATTTTTAGTCCTTTAGCTTCCAGTACGGGCATCGAAGAAATCGAAAGACACTATTACCAAATGGAAACTAACTAAAGCTCAGACCAAACTGTAAAGTTGAGGCTTTACAAGAAAAAGGGGCTCCACAGATTTGAGCAAGATTCCGAGCTCCCGAGTCAGGTCTACCAGGGTCTGGAAGGAAATTCTGAGTTTTTAACGGGACACCCGGACACAGCTAATTCAAAACTGCCTTCTTCTCTTATCTCCAAAGCGAAAACAAATCCTTGGCTGAAGACTGTACCCGTCCGCAAACACAAGGTCCTCACGGACCGCCCGACCTGGGTCCCCGCGGCCTCCCGGAACCTCTGCTCCCCAAGCGGGCCCGCAAATGACTTTGCAAAGTCGCATTTCCATCCCCATTCCGTACTGTCCCCTCCGAAAGCGCCAATCCAGAGACCAGGACGTAAAACACCGGGTCGGCGAAGATCCTGCAGCCTTAGCTACTCGGAGGTTCTCGGGGACTCCTTCCATACCTGAATGTAGTCAGCGAAAAGCTGTAACCACGCTCCGCCATCTTTGCCCGGAGAGCCAAAGCACAGCCACACACCTGCGCAATGCGGTCAGCTGCTTTTCATTGCCCTCCCCCGCGCCTTTCTTTCTCTCCCTCTGATTGGAGCAGAGTCAGAGCCGCTCCAGGGCCATGCTGGCCCTTGTAGTTCCAGGAGCTGGGTTGGCCGGACTCTCCGTCTGTGCGCATGCTCGGGGTAAGGGCGGGACGCAGCAGCCGAGTAGGAGCGGTCTTAGGACGAAGAAAATGGCGGTCGCCATGCTGATGCTGGTTATTCCGTCGTGGTCGGCAGCCCCGGGACTCCTCAGGAACTGTTGGGAACGACTGCGGCGGAAACTTCAGCAGAGCCGGCCAGGCTTCCCCAGTCTTCCGTGGGGTGCGTAAAAAAGACCGCCGTGGAGAGAGGGTGGATGAGGGAACTCCGGGCAGCGTGGCGGACACAGCCCTCCCCCATTCCAGTCTGCAGCAGGGGACGCTGTCAGGGACATTCACTTACTTAGAAACAAGAGACAGCTGTGTTTTCTACTCCCTCTCCTCAAGAAAGAAAAAAATGCTCTGTCACATTCGTATACAGAATGTTACCGAAGGGCGTTAGCTTAGCATCAAGGGCCGCCACTCTGACTCCTTTCTCTTTCCTTTCCACTCCCCCGACACCCTAACGCAGTTTGGCCTCTTCTGTGGTGCCCGAGCTCTGTGCAGTTGAATCCTATCCCCGTGTTTCCCCCAGAAACTAATTTAAATTGATAGTGCCTTGGATATTAAAATTGTCATTGCGTTGATATTTACATTCTACTCCACTTCTAAGGTGTCCCGAACATGGTAATACCCAGGCAGTCTGAACGGAGAATCCACTATATACCAAAGCCTACCTGTGCTTCCTGGGGTAGTCTCCACAATTCCTTTAGGTTTCTCTACTTTTCGACTGAACAAGTAGGCTGAGACAGGCTCCAAGGTCACACACCTTTCAGAACCTGTGCTGTTAACCACCGGTTATTCTTAAAAATACTTTTAGATATATTGAAAAGGAATTTTGCGTATTTTTAAGAGTTGCTAAAATCCAAAGAAGTATTGCAAGTCTGAGGAGTAGCAAAGAGGGGGTAGAGGAATCTCTTTGATTTTACAAACAATTTAGAAAAACAAGTGAAACGTTGATGGTCACATAAATATTCAGAGTGGTGAGCTAGTTCTTTGGCTTAGAGAACAGACAGGATTAAAGAGTAAATTGTATGAAGAACTAAGCGACTTAAACGGCCTGCTAGGTTATATGACAAAGGAGCTAACTTAATTTGAATATAACAAAAACGTGCCAGTGGTCAGTTATCTCAGTGTAGAAGTGCATTTTGGGAATCTCAAGCTCAGATTTACTGGTAAAGTAATTAGGTATACTGCCCATCAACTGGATGTGGACAACTGAGTGGTCTTTCTTTCCTTTACTACTACTACTACTACTACTACTACTACTACTACTACTACTACTACTACTACTACACACACACACACACACACACACATACACACACACCCTCCAGTTCCATTTTTCATAAGATGAGAAACTCTTGGTAAAATTTCACTGATTCATTTCAGCAAGTGCCTCTAAGAAAAAATTCTGTTTGTCTTTAAAATTGCTTTGTGTATGAGCTTTAGTATATTTTAACTAAGATTTCTTGTTAAATGTCTATTGAATGTAACATTATCTATAAATGTTTTCATGTCACTGTTGATTGTTACAGAGAATGAGATCTGTAAATAGTCATTTAGTAGTTAGAAACTGATTCTGAATCTCCATGTTTTATTTTGTAGGACCAGCATTAGCAGTCCAAGGTCCAGCTACATTTACAGAACCAGCAACTGATACTAATGGAAGTAAGGAGAATTCCAGCCTTTTGGATAGTATCTTTTGGATGGCAGCTCCCAAAAACAGACGCAGCATTGAAGTTAACCGGTGTAGGAGAAGAAACATTCAGAAGCTCATTAAAGTTAAGGTAATATGTTGATTTTTGTGGGTGTGCTTTTTGTCATGACTACCACTGCATATCCTCTTGGTAAACTCATATAACCTATGAGTAAATTATTCTTAAATCTTTTATGTCTACTTTCTTCTGGCCTAAATAAAAGACAATATTCTCAGTATGTATGTAGGTGTGTATGTATGGATGTATGTGTGTCTACTGTCCTGTAGCCTAAATTGTAGGAACATAGTCAAACACAGTCAAAGAGGTAGTTTGGAGTTTGCACAGAGGACTGGGTTGTGAAAAGCCTACATGACTTTTTCATTGTGAGCTGTGCCAGTCCTGAGCTGTTTGATTTTGAACCATAAATGAATGAACCTCTTAACTGTGGCAGAACCTAAAATTAAAGTTAGAAGCAGTAGGTATATTGGATCTTGGGTTTTACTGGCCTTTACATATTTATTGTATTCTTTACTGTGTCCAACAAAATACTGTGAAGGAAAATCATTAGGTAAGTAATAAAAATAGCTAACATCTATTAAGTGCCAATCATGTATCTAAGTGCTTTATATGAATTGTCTCATCAAATCCTCACAACAACCCTGCAAAGTAAACATTGTTTTGCTCATTTTTAGGATGAAGAAACTGAGGCCAAAAATTTGCCTGTGGGGGCACAAACTGTTAAGTGGTAGAGCCAGGATTTGAGCCTTGGCAGTCCAATTCTTGAGCTCAAATTCTCTTGAGTCTTTTTTGGTGTGTGTGTTTCTATCCTCACACAATTCCAGATCTCCACTCTCTTCACTGGATGCATGGATATGCTGTCTTCATTGATCTAGTAAACAAAAAGTATAGTGTTTATAACTTTTGATCTGTTAATTTATGGCTTCACCAGCCATGATTTGAACTACTGTATACTCCGTGTCATTCTGCAGCAGCAGCAGCACAGTACAGATGAAAACTCCAGAAAAGAGAACTTATTTTGATAAGTTTCCACCTTCAGTATTGAACCAAATCCTTAGAACTTAAGCTAAGAAATATTACTGAGTCACGGTTTGTACTGGACTTAAAATCTGGAACTGAAAAATACTTCTTTAATTAAAACAATAATAATTCACACAATTGGTTGAGAGAATTTAGGATTTTCGGAATGAGATCTCCCACCAATCTATTACATGATTTCCCTGATGGTGTTGATTTTTAGGAAAAAGAATAATCCTTATCCCATGCATTTATTTTCTTCATTGAATTGTTTTCTGCTACATACAGCATATTATGTTGGGTGCTTATCAGAAAAAGAGTACCAACTGATTTTGGGTATCTTTCCCATACCTCCATTTGAACATGCAATAGTTTCCGGTATAGTAGAGTAAAATGAAAAATTGGTAATGCAAGTAATTTCCAAGGTTCTTTCTTTGTTCCTTTCAGACACTAAAATTATTTCTCATTTGCCGCACAAATGTACATATATTAATCATATGATGTGTTTGGAGTTTCTTTGATGCCCCTGTTTATTTTTTCTTTATATTTTTTCTTTTATTAAATTTATTGGGGTGACGTTTGTTAACAAGATTATGTAAGTTTCAACTGTACAGTTCTGTAATATATCATCTGTATATTGCATTGTGCGTTCATTACCCAAAGTCAAGTCTTCCATCAATATATATATTTGACCACCTTGACCCTCTTCTATTTCCCCCCACCCCCTTTGCCTGCTGGTAACCACTATTTTGTCTGTGTCTATAAGTTATTTGCTTGTTTGTTTTATTTGTTCATCTGTTGCTTTCTGTTTTATATCCTACATATGTGTGAAACATGGTTCTTTTTCTTTTCTGCCTGACTTATTTTGCTTAGCATGATATTCTCAAGATCCATTGATGTTGTTGCAGATGGCAGTATATCATTTTTTCCTATAGCTGAGTAGTATTCCATTGTATATACAAGGCCTGACAATTAAAACTAAGTTAATGAGCTTGTTGTAACAACGTTGCTAACCTTTTTTTATATCAGAGGGATTATTCATTATGAATTTGTACTAACTGGACAAACAGTGAACCAAGTTTACTATTTGGAAGTGCTGAAAAGCCTGCATGAAAAAGTTAGAAGGCCTGAACTTTACGCCAACAATTCATGGCTCTGGCATCACGACAATGTACTAGCTCAAACAGCACTGTCTGTGAGGGAGTTTTTAGCCAGTGAACAAATAACTGTATTGGAACACCATCCCTACTCACCTGAACTGACCCCCAATGACTTCTTTCTTTACCCGAAGATAAAGGAAATGTTGAAAGGAAGACATTTTGATGACATTCAAGATATCAAGGGTAATACGATGATGGCTCTGATGGCCATTCCAGAAAAAGAGTTCCAAAATTGTTTTGAAGGGTGGACTAGGCGCTGGCATCAGTGCATAGCTTCCCAAGGGTAGTACTTCGAAGTTGACTGTAGTGATATTCAGCAATGAAATATGTAGCACTTTTTCTAGGATGAGTTCACGAACTTAATTGTCCGACCTCGTATGTACTACATCTTTATCCAATCATCCATCGAAAGACACATTTTTCATATGTTGGCCACTGAATAAGGCTGCAATAAACATAGGGATACATATATCTTTACAGATAAATGTTTTCTGATTTTTTCAGGTAGATACCCAGAAGAGAATGGATTGCTGGGTCATATGCTAGCTCTTAATTTTTTGAGGAACCTCCATACTGTTTTCCACAGTGGCTGCACCAATTTTCATTCCCACCACAGTGAGGGTTCCTTTTTCTCCACATGTTTTCCAATACTTGTTATTACTTGTCTTGTTGGTAATAGCCCTTCTAACAGGTGTGAGGTCATATCTCAGTGTGGTTTTGATTTGTATTTCTCTAACAGCTAGTGAAGTTAAGCATCTTTTCATATATCTGTTGGCCATTTGTATGTCTTCTTGGGAAAAGTGTCTATTCAGGTCCTTTGCCTATTTTTGAATTGGATTGTTTGTTTTTTTGTTGTTAAGTTATATGAGTTCTTTATATATTTTGGATATTAACCTCCTATCAGAGGTATTTTCAAAGATCTCCTATTTGGTTGGTTGCCTCTTTGTTTTGTTGATGGTTTCCTTTGTTGTGCAGAAGCTTTTTAGTTTCATATAGTCCAATCACTAATTTTTCCTTTTACTTCCCTTGCTTGCCTTTGAGATCAAATTCATGAAATCCTCTCTGAGACCAAGATCCGTAAGTTTAGTAGTTAGGCTTTCTTCTATGTATTTTATTGTTTTGGATCTTATGTTTAGATCTTTGATCCATTTTGACTTAATTTCTCTATATGGTTTCGAATAGCAGTCTAGTTTCATTCTTTTGCATGTGACTTTCCAATTTTCTCAGCACCATTTATTGAAGAGGCTTTCTCTTCTCCATTGTATGTTTTTGGTTCCTTTGTTGAAAATTAGTTGCCCGTATACATGTGGGTTTATTTCTGGGATCTTAGTTCTGTTCCATTGGCGTGTATGCCTGTTTTTCCAATATCATACTATTGATTATTATAGCTTTGTAATATAATTTGAAGCCAGGTAGTGTGATACCTCCAGCTTTGTGTTTTGTTTTGTTTTGTTTTGTTTCCTCACAATTGCTTTGACTATTTGGGATCTTTTGTGATTCCATACAAATCCTATGATTTTTTTTTGTTCTATTTCTTTAAAAGATGCCATTGGGATTTTGATGGGGATTGCATTAAATCTGTATGTTGCTTTGGGTGATATGGCCATTTTAACTATGTTCATGATTCCAACCCATGAACGTGGAATATATTTCCATTTCTTTGTGTCTTCTTCAATTTCTTTTGATAATGTCTTATTGTTTTCAGTGTATTGGTCCTTTACATACTTTAAGTTTATTCCTAAGTATTTTATCCTTTTTGTTGCAATTACAAATGGAATTGTTTTTTCTTTTTCTGAAATTTCATTTTTAACATATAGGAACACAATGGACTTTTTGTACACTGATTTTGTATCCTGCAACCTTACTGTGTTTATTATTTCTAATAGGTTTTTGGTGGAGTCTTTAGGGCTTTCTACATAAATAGTGATATTCTCTGCAAAAAGTGACAATTTTACTTCTTCATTCCCAGTTTGGATGCCTTTTAAATCTATCTGTTGCCTAATTGTTCTGGCTAAGAGTTCCAGTACTACCTTGAATAACAGTGGTGAAAGTGGGCATCATTGTCTTATTCCTTATCTTGGAGGAAAAGCTTTCAGTTTTTCACCAGAGTGTGGTATTAGCTGAGGGTTTGTATATATGACCTTTATTATGTTGAGGTACTTTACTTCTATACCCATTTTATTGAGTGTTTTAATCATAAATGGATGTTGTATTTTGTCAAATGCTTTTTCTGCATCTGTTGATATGATCATATGATTTTTATCCTTTATTTTGTTAATGTGGTGAATCACATTGATCAATTTGCGTATATTGAACCATCCTTGTGCCCCTGAAATCACGGTGGTGATGTATTATCTTTTTAATATATTGTTATATTTGATTTGCTAGTATTTTGTTTAGGATTTTTGTATTCATCAGAGATAATGGTCTGTAATTTTCTTTTTGGGAGGGTTGTCCTTGCTGAGTTTTGGTATCAGGGTAATGTTAGCCTTATAAAATGAGTTAGGAAGTATTACATCTTCAGTTTTGGAAGAGTCTGTGGATAGGTATTCAGTCCTCTTAGAATATTTGGTAGGATTCACTGGTGAAGCCATCTGGTCCTGGACTTTTACTTATGGGGAGGTTTTTGATGATTATTTCCATTTCTTTACTGTTGATTGATCTATTTATTGATAGATTTTTCAGTTCTTTGTGATTCAGTCTAGGAAGGTTATATATATCTGAGAACTTGTCCATTTCTTCTAGGTTATCAAATTTGGTGGTGTATAGTCTTTCATATTATTCTTGTATAGTCCTTTGTGTTTCTGTGGTGTCCTTTGTAACTTTAATTTCTGATTTTGTTTATTTGAATCTTTTTTTTTTCCTTAGTGAGTCTAGCAAGAGGTTTGTCAATTT